GTATACATTCTGCAAATAGCAGAAATAATCTGTCAGATTTCCAAGTTTCAAAACATTACATTTCGGTATTATACACTCACAGCATCGCTTTCAAGTTCAGAAACATTTCATCATTATTTCGTGATAATGACTATTAACTTTATGATAAGATTTCCAGAAAGAGGACCAAGCTTAAAATAACTTTTCCTGTTTATTGTTACAGGAACACTACAATTGTCTGATATGAGATGACCTTAGTAACAGATAACGAATACATTAAAACGGATTAAAAAAATAAAAATGTTAATACGTTTTTCAAGGAATATATTTTTGTATACCATTAAACGTTTTCTGAAAACTTTGCAGTTTCACAAACAGCCAAGCCTCTTGTATGAAAAAAGATGAGTCCCCTCGCATGAATGACTCGCGCAAGGTTCGAAACAGGAAAAATAATTTTACTTTTTTCCAGAAGTTCCTTGAAGTGCTGTAGTTTTCACTTTCAAGGAAAATAAAAGAAAGATGTGTTATTTTTCCTCCGCGGTAAAAATACAGTAAGGGTGGATTTCCTCCTTTCCGATTTCACCTTTTTCTATGGAATAATTGGAAGGGGAACTGAGAAGAGGGAACAAATTTAAGCAGGGAATTGCGATGAAAACAAGAAAACACGATTAGCGTACGAGCGGTGAGCATTTTCTTGTGATAATGGGGCGTATAAGACGGGCATCTCTTTCAAATGTGGATTTTATAGAATAAACATTACATTATATTCGGCTTACATCCATACAACGACCTCGCCTAGGAATGACAATACATACTTTCGGAACAACGTACAGCTGCGGATGTTAATAACCAGCACACGACTGAGATGAAAAAATAAAATTTGATAATGGTATAATTAATGAGTATTAATGCAGATTTGACACGTGCACAAAGTCGTCATAGGTATGATCGACAATATGCATGCATGGTCGATACCGGCACAGCATCACGAATTGAATACCCACAGAATAGACTGTGTAAAATTCACACAGGCAAACACTGGATTGAACCGATGTTGCGCAGAATCGGCGCTGGCATAAGACACAAGCATAGTACCGATATTGCGCATAATGAACACCGGCGTTGGTTCAATAACGACACGGAATACAAATGCATAGGACCGATATTGTTCTGAATCGACAATGGCATAGTACCGATTTTGCGCATAATAAACACAGGCGAAGAATCCACACCGATATGGGATAGGTCCAAACACAGGACCGATATTGCTTTGAATCGACAATCGATACGATCAATAGGATCGATACTGGCACAAGATCGAGTACCGATATTGCGCATAATGAACACCGCCATAGGATCGTCACCGACACGGGACAGACACAAGCACGGGACCGATATTGCATTGAATCGACAGGGCAAAACATTGGCAGGCATTCAACTTTTCCATAGTATGGATAAGGCTTATAATTAGCAACTGCACATAATCAAGAGCGAGAGAATTTCATTAAATAATAAATTTTGGGGACAGCTTTTATAGCATCGACATCGACGTAAGACCGACAGTGGCAAAGGATCGAAATCAGCAGGTAGAGTGGCTGTTGATCACGTGATGTCTCTTAAATTGGAACCAATCCCATAATAAAAATGTTCATCCCCCCCCAAAAAAAAATCTAATTTAAAAAATTGCACGCATATAGATACAGACGCACCTTATCTACAGTAAACAGATAAATAATTTGTGACGTATATTATCCGAAAATGGAGTAGAAAGTATACTGTAGTTGCTGATCGTTCTTGTAAAAATCTAACTTTCTTTCCTTGTAAATAACCTATGCTTAAAACGATTTTTCATTTCCCATGTTATTCATATATACTAAGTTTCCGCGTTCTTATTTCACCATACACTGTCTTAAAAAAACTGTTACTTTTTTACGTTTTGTCACTTAAAGTTGTGACCATCAGTTAATTTACATCCTATGCATACACGTGTGTGCAATTTAGAGAGCAATAAGTGGAAAATAAAGATCAAGAGACAGAAAACGAATGTAAGAGGGAGAGTGAGAATTACATGTAATGACAATCTTTTTAAATTTAGCCTCAAATTTCAGTTAGCAAATAACAGCAGAATTTTGACAGAGTTTCTATACGGGGATTTTCAGTATGCGCAATGTAGTTTTATTAAGCTGTTAGAAAAATTTAACATAGTGTGTTTCCCACAGGAGTTATATAATGATTTCAATATTATGAATGAAAAGTTTCTGTAAAAATAAACTTTTCCTATGCTCTTCATACAACAAAAATTCCGTTCAGCAAGTATTATGCTACCATGAATTTAAAAAAGTGTACCATACTTCACCATGCAATACACATCTAGTTTAACAGCGAATTTTTCAATATGCATCATTTTTTCGTGGCACTGGAAACTTACTTAAATTCAAGGCTGGAGAGCAGTTTAGGGAATACAAAACAAGAGCTACTATATATATATATATATATATATATATATATAAAGGATTCGTCTTAGAAAATACGGCATAGACTATTAAATTTGTTATTAGGATATGCAAAGCTCGTGAGAGATATCTGTATAAAGACAGCGATGCTTTCCTGGTTCTATGAGAAGGCTCACAATCCGGTTACACATGGGGAAAACACTAAACACCTATTCAAGTAATACATTCGTTTATCTGGATTTGAACCCGTGTCGAACTCCCAATATTCAGCGATCTTAATCACTCGATCACTGGTGGGCCAATACTTTATTGAGCATTATCTATCGAGCATTCTTTCCATGATATTTATGAGGTAATACGGCAGCGAATATTTCCTATAAAAGTAAGGAAGGAACGTTCCGCATTTTTAAGTAATTAAAGCACAATGAATATTTGATTAACAAGATTTTTTTTTTCTGTACAGACTATATAAATCCAGATTTTATTTTTTCTCCTACCTACAGCGTTGAAACTGCTATCTAAAATTATCCGCCTGAATTAAAAACCTCTTTGAAGTACACTATCTAGGACCGATAATAAAAGAAATAAAGCCTATAGTCTCATTACTTTTCTGTGCATTTTTTTACTGTATGCAAGTCCCTCCCCCTTTATTTGTTTTTCTTATTTTTTATCCGAGTAACCGATAAGTTTAACCTCCCTCTCTCTGCTCAAAAATAATTACGCTGTAGCTGAACTCTTGAACCGAGGGTAGTGATTTATTATCGTATCATTTAATCCAATGAGTAAATACAACATTCCCTATTCGCAGGAAAGCGGATTACATTACGAAACGTTCAATTTACATATGCATGGCACATGATCTTTCTCATCGAGAACTACCGGCATCAGAACTTAAAACTGTTGCCAACAGTTTCGTCTAGCGACCGAAACCCTCCATCAATTCAAATGAGGCTTCGCCTTAACAACCCGTATGATCGTCATGCAATATCGGTCCCGTTTTTCCGTTGCGAAACCCCCACAATTAGGGCAGGACAATGGCACGGGGAGGGGGAAGACACCCTTATCTACTACTTAAATACTTCCCGGACACAAGACAGATGTCCTTTGCCGACTAATAAGCTGCAACGGCGCAGGTGACTTAACTCATTCTGAGGAGGGGGGCAGCCTAAGACTTGTTTTGGGGTCGTGTAATTTAATGGAGATATCATTAGAAAACTCAAGGCGCAGGATTCTTCTTTTTTCCTCATTATTATTGTTTTTTAACCAGCCGAGGGGGGATGTTGCGAAATACGTGCACCAAAGAGGGAAACGCACTCATGAGCATCATTACAAAGCGTGATCATTTGTGTCTTGTTTTCAACTTTGAAGACGATTTTTCGAAATACTTTCCCTATTTGTTTTTGCCTCACCCTTTCAAGAATAAGATTTGATTCCTTAAAGTGCTAAAGTGTCCAATGTAAATATCTATTTTATAAGCAAATTCTTTATATAAATATCTACTTTATAAGCAAATTCTGTAACACAGAGTTTAAATATTTCTATTTAAAAATGTTTCAAAAGCTTCCTTGCAAAAATAAACTGCTTTTCTTAGTCTTCAATAATTCTGTAAGTCTACACCACGCTTGTCATCTTCAAGACAAATATTTAATTTCTTCTTAGAATTTATCTTATGAATATTGCTTATGTGCTCAGTTTGTGGGCCTCATGAATTTTTAAAAAATAACGATTTTTAAGGGGAGAATTTACTTTAGGGGGACAAAGAATATTCTGCAAACACTGAACCTGGGTTTAAGAGGACTAGTTGAGAACCGCAACACTTTTCTTTGCTAGAAATTGTTTGACGAGAACTGAAGTGTGTGACGGCCCACTTGTCATGCAGCAGAAATCAGTTACTTGATTGAGCTTTCTCGGGCCGAATGAACTGAATTCTTTTCATTACAACTTTATAAAATACCCAGTTTACCGTGTGCTCTTCGAGGGGGGGGAGGATTCCATGTGAATGGAAACAACATGTTTTATTTAATATTTGTAATGGTTTTTTCGGCAACTGCTGCCTAGTATTTAAATCATTATAGTAAGAAGCTTTATAACACGATCGCTCTGTACTTTTCTACTGTCAAGGAGAAATTGCAAAAGAAAAATATACGGCAGACATGGAGAGAAAAAAGTCTCCACTTGTAACCATTTTCTACTATAAATTTACTACATGATAATAGGCATATATGCTTTCATGCCAACGCCGATTTAACTAAGAAAATCTTTCATCTAAAATCACATATTTAACATTAAGTCTACTCTGTTCTTACTTTCATCAACACCCAGGAAGAAAATTATAATACCTGTAATATTTGGCTTCGGATTTCGAAGGGAGTGTAATAAAAAGGGCGACAACAAAAACGCTTGAAATAAATTATTAAAATAAAAATAAAACAGAAAGAATAAAGGTGTATGAAAAGGAAGACACGCAGCTGGTATTACGAAATGCCAGTAGGAGATGGCGGGAGGGGGGACATGAACGTGAAAGGCATGGCAGAAAAAAAAAAAAAAAAAAAAAAAAGCTCGTTCTACCTGTGGAGGAAATTCCTGGTGTTCAGATGGTAGCGGTGTAGAAGAGGTGGGTGTGTAGACACAGACCTGTAGGTGGGCACATCGGGGGTGGGACTCGCATGTGCCTTTCGATGAAAAGGTTTTCTATTTTTTTGTATTTTTCCTGGTCTCGGTGACAGAGGGGAGACGTCGGTTTTCCTGGTAGACGCCTGTTATTGTGGCTTTGTGTGCAGAGAGGTTTGTATGTGGGGGTGGCGAACAATTTCGGGATGGTAGAGTTTCGCAAACTGGTGATGGTTGGCGAAGCACCTATACGGTGTTTTTGAGTGGGTAGACAGACCACTCTGGATTTATATTCGTTAGTTAAGGTTGGATGTTCCTGTGTCATAAGCAATGCTGTTGGTTGAGTAGTCTAAGAAGATTGTTCCAATCCAGCGCGTGGGTTTGAGTCCAGGTTTAAGCCACCGGTGGTTTAAATTCTGCGTCTTCTTATGACGGGTGAGGTCACAGCACTTAGATAACCCGTGAGAAGTTTAAGCAGAGGTGTAGCTATCCATATATTATTCTGATGTTCCTTCAGCCCTCAGGTTTAAGCATTCTTTTCAGTCCTACAATGGGTATTCACAGCTTAATATTCTACACCAAAAATATGATAGTTTGGATAAAAATATGACGGTTTGTAAGACCATCTAAACACAAAACACATTCACTTCTAAGAAACCGTTTTTATACAAAGTAACAAACAGCAATCTCTATTTTCATAAATTACGTAATTATAAATCGTACTATTATTTAAGACAAATGAACTAACACATATGAGAACATTTATTTAATTCAGAACACAGTATCGTCTATATAACGACAAGTATTTAACTTTCATTTAATTGTTTAAAATTAACAAAGATCGGATCTTTCAGATATTAAATACAGGCACAGTATTCTGCATAGGGACTGAAATTCAAATCATTAAATGTATACTTCAAAAATTAATACTAATATTTAATAATTACATTCTTTTTTTAAAAAAATTCTCAAGCAATCAGAAACATGAAAAATGAAATGAGTGTTGCTCTACCTTTGATGAGTTCGGAAAATTCTGAAATTCGTCTAGGGTTTACTAAGTAGTTCCATGAGATCTTTAGTTTCTACTAAAAAAATTAAGTATCATTAATAGAATAATTTTATGATTTCTTCAAGCATAGTTTGACGAATCTTAATTCATTTTTTGAGATAGACAGATTGATTTGATATCCAAAAAATACTCATATAATCATCTATGTTATATATGTTAGATTACTATATCTAGTAAATTAATCTATGAATCTATCATTCTAAAAGAAATTTACCTGATATTTTTTTTAAACTTATGGGAAAGAAATAAATCTTTCTAATCTCTCTCTCTAGCTATCTCTCTTCTTTTTTTTGGGGGGGGGAGAAAGAGAGAGGGAGAAAGAAAGAACAGAGAGTTTTCTATCTAAAAATATGGTACTTCATAGTACTAAAGATTAATTATCAATTTAATCGGTAGATAAAGATCTTTGAAAATATTCGTTTTCATACATTAAGCATTCCCTTGTGCGCACTTTCACGATGTAAATGATTAGCACAGCCAGCTAGCAATTGGAAGATCCGACTGGAACCTCCAAGGAAGCATAACTGATTTCTCATATTTTTGGCTCCAAAACTCCTAATAATTAATACAATGCTAATAAAAGACTTTTAAATTTATTGAGAAATGCAATTAAATTGAAATTAGTATTATTTCAAACAAATACCTTTATAAAAGTACTGTTTTAAATTTCGAAATGTCAATATTATGTAATTTAACAAAGGAATAAAGAGAATGCAATGCACTCAGATTTCTCTAAATTTTTCTTATTAGAGTCTAATGAAACCTGATAAAGACTCTTTAAAATATGTTTTGTGATGTGAGCATTATTTTTAATATGCCCTCAAGTATATGACACTTCGATAGTTACTTTCAACACGCAACAATAAAACATTATTATGCCATTATGTATGAAAAATGTACTGTTTAATAAACTAAAATAGAAAAATAATAGTTTTTTTTATATAATTTAAGAAAAAGTCTTGCATAATCCCACCTTCTTTGAGTAAATTAAGAATTATGTCACATTTAAAAGAGTTACTAAACAATAACATCGAAGATACTACATTTCTTCCCTAGAGAGATTAATGAAATAAATAGTCAATTTAATAAAATCAAAGATATATATTCGCAACTTGTAGTTAAAAATGGGTTATACAAATACAGAAGTCCCCCCCCCATTAAATAGTATGTTTTTAAATTTAGGAAAAGGATTTTAGCATCGAAACCGTTTGTTGACACAGACAAAAACACGGTAAATGGCTTCATGCAGCTAACTAAACAATCTTACGCCACATTCCAGAATTTTAGCAAACTGTGAGTAACTCAAGGTTCAAATTTAATTCGGACTTAGGGGAAGGGTTACTTCGCAACATGACTTTTATGCCAAAAATCTTATGGCCGGGGGGGTTATTAAAATTTAAAAATGGAATTATTTAAAAATGGAAAATAATAGAGCAGTTATACAATTAAAAATAATAGGGATTAATAAACATTTCAATTTCCTTCGGAAAAGACTTCATATTTGCGAAAGCACAAAATATTCCCTAACATTCACAATAATAGCCGCATAAATTAGAAGTCGCTATAAAATTTGTACCTTAATGCTTCAGTTTGACATTCTAGCGGTTTTAATATAAAACTCTCACAACAAGTGATATTTATCAATACTTACTTCTAAAAATTTACTGTGCTCTTATACAGCCAGCTAATTAATGAAGGGGGGGGGAAGTAATGAACTGAAAGTCCTCAGTCAACTCGTCAACGAAATTCAACAATGCCGGACTTTGTGGTTAAAATTAAATACCATAAAAAATAGCAAAAAGTAAGAATTTTTAAAACACCAACATCACATAAAAGGTTCTTATGTTCCCTTTACATTAGCAATTAAAAAACTTAACCAAACTAAGTGACCAGTAGCTAAAAAATCATCATTGTCAGCGCAATAAAAGATTCTATGGAACAAAAAGGTTTAACTTAAAAACATATTTCTATCTTAATGACAGAGAAAAGACTGTGGAAAGTAATAGGTATAGCTGCGGGTAGGAAAAAACAAAAAATAAGAGTATTTTTTTTTTCCAGTGGTACCTTTTGTTGTGTTTCTGCAAGGTCAGCGACCGGAAGTCACGTGACTTGCTTGCCAAATGTGTCTCCGATACTAATTGGAGAATCTCGTCGGCTTTCAAATTATCATCGCCCCAATGTATCTTTATGTTGTTCTTTTCATTAAAGTGAAGTGTACAATACAATAGCTGTGAGCTCTTTTCCCACTTTTAACTCAGAAACAGAGAAGTTTCATTTTTTATTACTTTTAAAATCCTGCATAATAGAGCGGGGGGGGGACTAAAAGACTTCTTTAAGAACATTTACCGACGATTTCATGATTAAAGTATATTTAAAAAAAAGGGAGGAACACCCTTTACTTCTTTCAAGCATTTTTCGAAAATAAGCAAAACTTCGTGTCTCTTCAGATGATGCAAATATAGTTTGACAGGCAAATTCAGTAATGAAATTATTACAGCTTATCGAAATATTTTATTTTAATTAAGAATATCAGCCGTTATGTGCGCTCAGCGAAATTTAAATAAATTAATTTTCCTCATGCCACGTACCATATCAATAAGGGAAAAGTGAGAAATAAAAATTTACATCGAATCCTCTTTAAGCCAACCAACATGGATCCAAATTATTTTTTATTGAGATGGTCACTTTCGCAGACGCTCATTTACAGGAAGTGGTATAATGTATATAAATATTCGTATAATGTATATAAATTATGTAGTTTAAATAGTTTTTTAACTTTCCAATTTAAATGAATTATTTTTTCTCATGATATACATTTAATCGGCAAGAAAAGGAATAAAAATTACACTGATCCCTTAATAAAACGATTCCTCATTGTTCCGAATGATTTTTCTACGAAGAACCGATGTCCAGTAACGATACATTCTTCTGAATACTAGTAACTTTCAAACATGTTCGTTTAGAGGAGATGGCAGCTACAAGGAGTACACGGTGTATTGAATAAACTACGTTTTATACATATTTCTTCAGGTTTAAGAAGGTTTATATTAAAATTGTAATCATGTGTGAAAAAAGAAAACTCACAAACATGAACGTTAATGAGATTTTTTTTTAGGTAGAATACAAATTAAAAAGCATTATCCGGCAATATCTAAAACACTGGTATGTATAGTGCTGTGAAAAATATACTGAGATAATTAGGAATTAAACAAGATAAAAAGTATTAGGGTACATACAAATAAGTTTAAAACCTAAATTCTCGTTCCCCTCCTATTTAATTTTTTAAATAATTTGAAGATAAATATTGCATTAAATGAGTTTGAAAGAAGAATGCGAATATTACACAGGACTGCTAAAACAGTGCTTAAACTCAGTATTTTTAATTCCTAAAAACTACTTTTGTAATGGGCACTCTTTTTTACGGTAATCATTAACAATTGAAGGCTGTAGTTGCATTAGGGTTCTAATGGAAATAAAGTGGTCATGATGGAAGTAATCTAATTGTTAAAGATTAAAGATTTCCTATCATAATCAACGTTATACATTAAAACTTCTCCTCTACCTTTAATTAACTACTGTAACATTTTTATGAGCTACTTCCACTCAAAATTTACAAAATGATATAAATTTTTTTTATGATATGCAACTAAATTAAAACGATTAAAAGAACCATTAAATCTTGAAATGCCCGTGGAGATTTAATTGAAAAGGCTTATCAACCTGAAAATATAAAACTTATATCTGATATGATTATCCGTAAAAAACCCTTTAATCCCCGAATCATGGATCCATAGCGATCAACTAATAATTACCTTATAGAGTCCACTTGATTAACTCCAGTGTGACAACTGTAAGAGTAGTAACTGCACAGAAGAAGGGTTAAAAGTACCCTTTATTAACTCTTTAAAATTTACAATGCGTCAATTCGACGCTAACAAACTACGCCTCCGCTTGGGCGGTAACTGAAATCAAAGAACTAATTAAAGATTTGAAGATAGGTACAAGTCGTAGAACTAAACTACAGGGCTCAGCTAATTCCCGTTTCTTAAACCCGCGTCGGAACTAGTGGCAGAAAGTAAATGCAGTTTTATATTACGAAAAACCGCAAAAACTTTGGGAGAAGATGCTTACGCAACAGAGGTGACGGCAATAGCCTAATTCTCTCCCTCTCTTTCCTACTGAAATTCTTTCTTCAAGGTAGAATTTGCATTCCTTCACGCGTGCTACCAAATTTAAATTTTCTGGCATTGACAATTAGGAGAACGAAGGCTTATAGGAAATAATAACAAACTAAATAAATTGGTTATTTAAAATAAATCCCTACAACCTATCAAATCATGCGATGGAAAATGATCTTGAAACATTCATGAAAAATAAATATGACACACAAAATTTATTTTAAAACAATGAGTGTTCAACAAGGAATTCTTTCTTTTCCAAACGACCGGACACTTACTAGAAAATATCTGTCGATAATGGCCAGTCCCACTGGTTATTTCAACGTCTCATCCTCCAGAACTTTGCCCGCGTCATACCAGCACGAAACATAAGGAAAGACATTACACTTACAACCAAGCCTTACGAGGAAGTCGGGACACACACTTCTGATTCGGAACCGCAGTCATCATCCGCTAATCACTATACCTTCCAAAGTGGCAGAAAAAATAAAATTCTGTGAGGAGTATGTTTTACCAATCTGCAAGAATACTGAAATCCACTAAACCATATACCCATGGCCCACATGAGATCCAACTGATACCTAGATTTCTGAAAATCTTAAAAGATCCACGAAACTGAAACAGGAAAAAGGAACTCCAAGTTGAAATTTGTATAATTATTTCTATAAACGGTGACCCATCATTCGCTAAATGAACGAAAGCGAATTAATAAAGGATAGGTTGTATGGTCCTATGTGATATCTCTGGTTGTGCAAAACAAAAAGTGGATAAATAGTAGATAAATAGTCTTTCAATCGAAAAATCCCTCCAGTGTTTTGCCGTAAGTTAAGCTAACTTC